AGCTTCGTTCTAGCGGAAGCCGTTGTTTCGAAAGACGCGAACTTAAAAAGAGCGAAGCGAGAAAACTCGCTCGTCAAGGCGGCAAGAAACAAAAGGTGGCAAACAATGCGATTGTTGGCGTGTTGGAAAACGCCGCCGCCACTTTTCTTTTGTTCAAAGTGAAATTCCGAAGTGGCTGAGGCTACCAACCATCCAGTTCACCGAGAATCTTCGGCGGACAGACAAATCTGAAGCACAATCCAAGATCTAAACCAGAGGCAGTAAAAGTTTTGTGATCATTGACTCCTAAAAATTTGTTAATTCTCTTATCGACCCCTCTATAAAGAAATATTAAAAAAGAAAAAAAATTACACATAGCTTATGCGAAATGCGCATAAAAATGACGTCGCGTCAGCTAAAGTTTACTTACTATATTGTAATTACAAATGGCATTGGGTAATTACGAATAGCATTGGTATTCATCGACCCCTAATCGATCCCCTAGATCGGTTCGACCCCTAATTATATTATATCGACCCCCTAGATCGGATCGACCTCTAATTATATTATATCGACCCCCTAGATCGGATCGACCTCTAATTATATTATATCGACCCTCTAGATCGGATCGACCTCTAATTATATTATATCGACCTCCTAGATCGGATCGACCCCTAATTATATTATATCGACCCCCTAGATCGGATCGACCCCTAATTATATTATATCGACCCCCAGGGGTTTGATGATCCCTGATCTAAACGATTCTTTCCTACGTAATATATTAATAATTTCGCGTACCAGATTATCAGCTCTTTAATGACAAAATGCTACTCGACCCGAGGAGGAAATTCAGCTTAGATCGTCGGTTTTTCGAGACAGTCGAATCGCAATACTTAGCCACTCAACATTTTTCTATTCGCCACAACGCGAATGACGGAAACAACCACTGTCACAGAGATAAATCTTTCACGCAGTGACAAAGAAAAATCACTTTGGAATAGAACAGTGAAAATAGCGAAGGGTGAACAGGTTGGGACGACATTTGCGTACGAAGATTGACATATTTCAGGAATTTACCTGAGAAGGACGCTTGAATAAAATGACAAACTTTAATCCATCCATAATTCACGATTATCCAAAGGAAAAGAAAATATAAGAAAAAGGGTTAAAATCGATTTTAGAAATTTAAAATAAAAATAATTGAAAATCCTCTCCGAGTTAAACGTTTGATACGCAATCGGCAAAGAGATACACGAAGAGGGTAGCTGAAATCGCGGAAAAGCTGATTCAAAGAGACAATAACCATCCTTAGAAGTAGCGAAAACAGCGAAACGCTCGATTAGCGGGAAGCAAAAGTCGTAAAAGAGGTAAAGCCAAGGCACGTGGGTAAAGGGAGCTGGGTTTCGATACAAGGCGAACGAAGAATGGTTCTATTCGATGCAAAAGAAGCACAGACGGCAGAACGAATAAAGGAAGTTCAGCGAAATCTAAGACTCGTGTACCCGGCTCGCTCCTTTTGCCCCATGAATTTTCGTAAAAGCCTCGAATTGCCTCAAGACGAGGATCGTACGGATAAAAGGCCATTTGAATCGTCTATTCTCCTGTTCTATCTACCTTGCTTCTATTCCGACGTCGCGATCTTCTCATACGTTTCCTTCTTCTTCGGCTGTCTGCTAGCCGAAATGCTCAACGAGTAGGAAGATTTTTCAATCTAACGCTTACCAGCAGCTGTTACCACCAAATTCTGCTTTTAGTTACGTCGAGGAACGAATCTTGGTATAACGATCACTGTTTCAAATTCCTTTCGAGAATTTATGACGCACCGGTTCGATAAATTGTAATTTCATATTTAGAAAATTCATAGAATTGTATATTCATTTGAGAGAGGATTGATTCATTTATTTTATTCAGAATCGAATTTTCAAAGTAATCTCTCTTTAATAAGAATAATTAGCAAACAATCTTTGCACCTCTCCATCCATTTCTGAAAATATATATTCGAGTACTTTATTACTGAAATTCAAGGACGAAAGAATAATTAATCAGATTCGTCATTAAGATTTCAAGGTTTCATACTTATCTTTTTTTCTCCCTTTCATTAGGGTTGAACAAGCGAATAATGAGTTATACAATCTATAAATAAACCTCTACAATCTTTATTTTATCTCATTTGCAATCACATGCAATATTGTAAATATTCTGTCGAGTAAAAATGCATTAGAAAATATACGAAGTATGAACGTTTTGAAATTCGGTGGATCCTGTGATATATCGTTTGAAGAGTTATTAAAGCGGAAGATGAGAGATCCAAGACATTCTTAAAGAAAATGAAACGGTCCTTGATTATCCCTTGCGGTGAATCTCAAGCAGATTTATCGTCAAGCTGTCCGGGATTCTAAATTCTTGCAAAGAGATATTTGTGGAAAGATTAATGCAAAGTTTCAGAGGAATCAGATATTTTCAGAGATCCTTTAGAAAGTTTCTCTGAACTATTAAAACCATCTGTTTACACACAGTAAGAAACAAAATTCCAGAAATTCATTTATACGCTTCTGAGTAATTTTATGGCAAAATCAATTTCATTCGATTTACAAGAAGAATATGCTGCTTCTAATATAGAAAACAAAATTTCTTTTTCGAAATAAAGTCCACGAGTCTTCGATCGTAGTTTAAGTATTAAATTAATCAGAGGAAAACGAGCAAAACAACCAACAAATATTTTCAGAATTGAAAATACCTATGAGATTTCTGCAATATTTTAACAAAAACGAACAGGGGCTCCCAGTCGTAAGGACGCGAACCAGCTTTCAGCTGCATTTTCATCTGTTTTTTACCGCAGTAAAAACGTTCGATGCAGAACCCCTGTATTTCTTCTCGTTCGATATTGGATGCTTCCGCGAAATATGGGAATCCACTTAAGTAAATTTCTGCATATTTTATGCAAAGTGTTATCGACTTGGGTCCCAATTCAGATTTCACGCTCAAGCTGTATTTCTCTGACACGCTCGTCGTATCCACACTCGTGTTTTTTTTTTTTTCTCTACCCATCATCTACGTTGGTTCGTATAAAAATTTACACCTGTTCGCATCGATGCCCTTTTTTGTTCGCGAACGATTCAATTTCCCTTGATGGTCGATAAAGTTACGAAAGTGTGAAAAGAAATGGTGGAATTTCAAGGGAGTTTGCTTAACATTTTAACCCTGAACGAATGATTCAATTGAGCATTTAATAAGCAACTGAGAATTTTCAAATACCGAAGGTCTGACGTAATTTGATGACATAAAAGTATCTCAAAATAACACTTATAGTACATCAATTTAAAGTTTAAAGATTAACGAAAATAACTGTATAAATGTTTAATTAATATTCTTAACACAAAATTTTTAGCTTTATAGACGAGGCATTTATATAGTAATTTTTGCCAAATTTTAAGCTTTAAATTGATATATCGCTTTTATGTCATGAAATCATGTCAAACTCCATAGGTTTCGAAATCCACCATTTCGAAGCAACATAGAAAATTAGAAATTCAAATTTCCGAAATAAATTAAAACTGAAAAGTTCAAATACAATTGCCACTGGCTTATCGAACTTATCATCTAAAGAAAGAAAGTTATCTCGTCGAATTCGCCACGGAGCAATCCCTGCAGCAGCAGCTAAAGACAATTAAGTTTCAATTGGCCGCGTTGATGAACTAATTTGCAAGGGACAATAGTTTCGCGCGAAAACGCGAAAATTCCCGTCGCTCTCGGTAAAATTTCGCGGCCACGTTGATCTTGTTAACCCCGTTTTCGGGGACGTGTTCGCAAAGATTGCTACCGCGTCACGGACTGTCCTACGTGCCTATAGGAACAAATGGAAAGGAAAAACAAGGCCGGAAAGCAGAGACGGGAAACGAGGAAGAGCAGCTGGAAAGTTACGGTGGTTTGCCATAAAAAAAAGTACGCGATTTTTACGACCACTTGCGCTAAACGACAAAATGCAATTCTAAGGGCGAGCACCCTGTGAGACATTGTTAAGGAGTCGCTGACTCCGTCTCGAATGAAACCCCCTTTTTCCATTCCTGAAGTAGAAGAAGCCAGAGAACGTTTTAGCTTGGAATTACATTGTTCGCTTTCGCTGTACATCCCCCCATTGCTGTAATTTACCGTAATGAGTCGCGGTGTGCGTACTCCCTCGCTATGTTATTGTTCGAGAGCTGCACGAAGACGGCGCGGTATATTGTTTAGTGCAACGAGGATTCTCGTGAAATTTTTAGCAACAACCCTGGAATTTATGCTATTCGTTGAATTCTCGATCGAACCACGTCGGAGCCCGACTGATTGGAGATTTATTTACACGGTTGGGAAACTGTCCCGACAATTTATTTGCAATTTTGTTGAGACTCTGATTTGTTGCTTTTCTGATTGGACTACTGCATCAAAGATTTTATGTAGAGTTTTACTTTACCTTGTTTGAAGAGTGCATTTGTTCTTTGTCAATTAAATTTAATTAATAATTGATATATTATTAATAAGATGATTCGTTTTTTAGATTATTTCATTCTTGCAACAATTGTCTGAATTTAATGTAAAATGGAATAGCTTTCCAAAAATAGTAGGTAATCAATATACAGTAACTCACGAAATTGATCATGTAGTAACAATGTCCTATAATTAGAACAAAGATCTATAATTAGTCACTACGTTTTAATTAAATAAAAAGTACAACGATAGAAAGAATTTGATTAATTTCGTGAGTCACTGTATGAATAATTAATATTATGTATTTCTTTTTTATTTATAGCTGAAATTTCATTTCATTTCTTCATTAAATAATACTCGTATGATAATTTATCAAAGTAACTGAACAAACTATACATCCAATATTTTGCACGAGAAAGATCAAAGTTTCAAACTATTTACGTATAAACCAGATTAATATTCCCGCATTCGTTTCGCGTACAAATAACACTCTTCAAACGCGACGAAATTTCGCAGAAAATTATTAACAGGGTATTTATTAATTGCGGACTTACCCGCAAAGCCGGACATGAAATGAAACAGCGTCATTTGCAGGATCCTCCACGGTCTCGTCGTCGTTTCCAAGTTTCCTCACGAAATCCATGGACCACGATTCACAGACGTCCCATTGAATAGCTGCAAAATATTGCAAGTTACTGTATCTCTGTAAATCAGTGCTAAGAAACCCCGCTTCGCCAAGCTTTTGCCTGGCTATTCGCTAATACCGTAAAGTATAGTTAAACCACTGAGATGTTTGCACCTTTGATGCAAAAGCAAATGAATAATTCCTATCACACAGACACGAATACACGATCGTTTTTCTTTAAAAGCAACCGTGGACTGTTGCAATAATTTTCAAATTTAAATGAACACCTGATAGAATAATGGAATTCCTAGGAGGCTATAAAAATTTCTAGAACCCCATAAAGCTATCGTATTGATAAAAAAATAATTTACAAAGTATTCTACTTTCTAAGTTTACTCAAAAAATAATTTTTAGTAACGACAGCCTTTCCGCTACGCTTGCTTTACTATGCGCTCCTAACCTAAAATCTGTAGTTTCAAAATTTGATTAACCAGCAAGATGGCTACGACGGCGATTTGTGCACGCGAGAGGAACGATTTTTCTAGTTTACGATGATTCGAGAATGAATCATGGTTAACGTTGGCCATCCTAAGGGTACATCTTCGACGGTTTGCCGAGATAACAACGGGCCAGAAGATTACGAGGGAGTTTCGCAGGACGCAGTAAAGCGAATTCGACGGAGAAACAAGGAAGGATGAAGGAAGTGTGTTGGTCTCTGTGGATCCTCAAGGGCCCTTTTCTCTTGGCTTTATGGTGCCAACGGTGCTTGAGCAACGACTTAGTTTCCGTGTGCATGCACTTGGACTTTGGGAGTATAATTTATCTGACGATTTCGGCTTTTACCATCGTGTAAACCGACGCCCCTCGTTATTTGATTCCGGACGGCAAAGGGAAACGTTTACAGGGATAAGGAAAATTGACGGAAACGTCGTAAATTCTGATTAATTACGACGCACGTCTACCGACTACAGTAATGCTACGAGGTGATATATTTCGAATAATATTTCAGTTTTTCGTTCCTATTTTATATTATTGTCAGAATAACCGTTTATTCATCGTCAGAGAATATAATTTTGTCAAACCACGAGACTTTAGTATTGACATGTTGTCAACATGGTTAGCTTTACAATAAGATATGTGGAAAATCATGAAGTTACAAATAAAAGTGTCAAATTCGAGATAATTACCTTTGAATTGGAGTTACAGATGATACTTGAAGCTAACAAACACTGCACAAACAATAAATAATCTAATAAACTCTTAAAAAATTGTTTAAATAAACGTGGAAATCACTCCCTTCTAATTGCACGAGGGGACGAAACAGCTTCGGTCCCTTCGGGCGTCTTCGGCAAGTTCCGCTATTTGAGCTTCGTTCCGACTGATCAGGTGGCGCAGTTGCCTGGAGGATACCGCGCGTAAAGTTCGTACAGTACATCGTGCTCTGTAATTTTCACGTTAAAGTCTAATTATTTTGAATAAATTGTTTATTTTTATACACGGTACGCTTTAAAGGGTCAGTATTATCGGTTAAACATAAAGTGGAGGTAAATTAAAAACAAATAAATGTTTGTGACTACATTCTTTGTGAATGCAACGCGACGTCACGTCGTAGTTTATTGAAAATTCGGAGGAATGCTATAAATCCGTGTTTACAAATACTTAAGAACGACTCTAGTGATGTACGTTATAAACATTTTACCTGAATACGAGACTTTTTCTGTTTTTCGTTTTGTGTCTTTCTCCCCACTTTTCTGTCGTGTTCAGCATAACCATCAGTTCATGAAAATCCATTATGGCGGACATCCTGTCATGCGTGGTCAGAACATCTCTTCAAATATGGTGAGTTTATACAATATTTAAATTCTTGAATTTCTATGTAAAACATAAGATCGTGTCGTATAATTGAATTTTAAAACGTTATGAAATACGACCCTACAAATGTGAACATTTTTACATATCCTTTTCCAAACGAAATATTCTTCCATATAATTAAATATAGAGTATACATTTTTTATGTTCTTGTCTCTCGGTAGAATGATTTGAACAGATAATTTTATAGATAGTTGAAGTTTTATATTTCAAAAATTACACATGTGTAGAGAATTAAATATAATATAAAGAATAATTAAATATTAATTACAATCGAATTTCGTGAATATTTATTATCAAATAAAGCAATGGTAGAATTTCAAGGCTTCTTCCGTGCTAATTAACCTCGATATTAATTAGAATTGAGCAATCAGGAATTATTTCACGAAATTCGATTTTATTGTCGATGACCCGTTTTCCTTTGAACGTACCAACAATGGTAAAATTTTAAATATCAACGCTTTGGTTTTGCTAATAAACCTAGATATTAATTTCCATTTCCATAACCTTAAACACTGAATGAATACGAGGATAGAATTTTCCATTTTTTTTTGTTTTTTTTTTTTTAAATAGCAAGAAGAATCTACATACCCTGGTATAGAAGTTGGATAGTTTCTAAATTAATACCATACAACCGGATGTCCGGTTTCTCTCAGACCTTATATTTGTCAAAACTCGATTTTCTATGCACGCAGTAGCGAGTATCAAGTCAGCCCTTAGAATTTCTCGCAAATGTTCACGTCGAAACGCTGACGCAGCGAGATTAATTCTTGATGGTACATACGTCTCCGTGTATCACGGTACGCAAACACATCCAGTTACGTAATTCGAAGTCCGTTTAATTCAGCAATCCTGAATGCTGTTTCTCTGTTTCGCGACTACCAGGAACTTGCAACGATTTCCGTTTCGTATACGCATTTGTAAGCCGGAAGATTCACCGGTACTCCCTTTTCAGACAGCTTTCCTCTCGTCAGAGGTCATCTTGACTTTCCGGTCTCACAGAATGGAAAAACTTAGATTACCGCATTTATCTGCAGCTAGCCTTTATCCTGTTTCCTCGATTCCCTTTTCTCTTCTACTCGGATTCACCTATGTATTTCCAACCATTTTATGAGATTCTTCCGATTCATCTTTCACCTCATATAATGTCTTCTACCTTAAAGGAACTCTTCTTTGCGATCATTTTTAGTCCTTTGCCAAATTTCCTGCTGGAGTTTCTTCGAATTCTTTGTGGCTTTAACCCATTAATTGTCAAATTTTTATTTTTGATATTTTTCGTGTATTAGGGTTGAAAATGGAATTTAGGTTACTTTACTATTATATTTTAAAAAAATAGTTATTTTCCAACATTTTTTATTGGTATCCAATTAGGATTCATGGAATTTCCAGGTACAAAAATTTTGAAAAAACTAAAAGATATAAAAACACAAAAAAACTGATTTTCTATGCCACACAGGAAAGCATTCGACATGTAGTCCTATAACGTAAGCATAAAAAGATAATTTTACCCCATTGGGTTGTAAATTTATATGTCAAATACTTTTTTAAGTTAGGTAACATTGAAACAAAAAATAATTTTGAAAACTAGAATGTTTAACGAATACACATTTTATTTAATATAATCCTATTGCAATTGATAAAATATATATATATATATATATATATATATATTCAAATCCCCATTTGGAGATCGCGGTAGCAAATGGGTTAAATTACTAAGAAAACGTTCCGCGACGCTAATTCTGAGAGCAATCTTGCTCAAAAATAACATTTGCTATTTTGCGAAATTACTTCCCATTTCTCGTTTCTAACGCACTATTATCCACACGTATTATAAATATTTTCTTTCGTTGTCTTTACTCTGAAAGCTTCGTGCTTCGATTCCCTCGAATTCTTCTTTCTCTTTGCCAGATATATTTTCTTTTTATGCTATTCTCCATCGTTTGTATCGATATGTATCTATATATACACGTACACATACTCTCGCCTCTTAAAAGATGTTTCTTTTTTACTTTCATGCTTTCTCGTTCCTTCGTATCGTTCATCGTTATCCTGCAGTCACACCAGCTAGAGACATAAACGAAAGTTTCGAGGATGCCGAGGATTCTTCTTCCTTCGATTCCGTGGATTTCTCTCCTTTCCTTTCAAACTCTTCCGTTTCTTGGCTACCCACAGATTTACGAGCAGCAACTACGTACTTTGGAACGGTAACTCGAAAAAAAGTTTCCTTCTTCGTTCGCTCGGTCGACTCGAAGATGTGTGCTTAAGAAAAGAAAAGAAGAAGAAGCAGCACTTCCAACGAATCATCCTCTCTTGAAATTTTAAGTCAAGGGATGAATATTTTCTCTCATTTTTTCCCATATCTTTATCGTCCTCGAAGAATTCTTTTTACGAACGAGTTTCTTAGGGAAACGTTTAGAAGTCACAGACTTGTAATCTAATATAATAAAGTAAAATTAAAATTTTTCTACTACCGTTTCAAAGTTTCGCCCGAATTTTTCCGGACACTTTGTATATTTAACGCGGCCCTAGGAAAAGGTAAAGTTATTCGAAAAGTGTGAACTTATCGAAGGAAGGGAAAAGTTAGTACCTAGTAGGGGCTTGATAAATAGGGTCGCAAAACGTCCCGACTTTACCCTACTTTCGAGACAAAGAATTCTTCGATGTTCTGTCGTACAAGAGAAGAATTTATATTTGTTAGAGCCTTAATGGCTCGTCATTATTCGTTCGATACCCCGTGAACTGGCAAGCAACTTCTTTCAAAGAGTTCGATGGAAAATGTAGAGCACAGTTTCTTGCGTATCACTCTTCCCTTTTCCTCTCGATCTTTTACTTCCATCGTTCGCATAACTTTCGACTGAATTGCACCGTTAAAGAATCGTGTATAGCATCTGTACTTTCTACGTTTTGCTCGTCATCTTCAATTGCCAGTTCATGATCACTGTCACTCGTTAATCCTTTATAGTTCCATTTACCTCGAGTAACCTTTGGATTAGATTTATTCGATAATTATTTTAATTATAATTTTTTAAACCATATGATGGTAATTTATTGGAAGTCTTAAGTAAGGATATTTGCAATATTAGAATAATAATATTTTATGAAAATTTTCATTGCATAAATGTTGAAAATTATTTTGCGAATCGTAAATGCAGTCACGTATTAATTGGCTTAAGTGAAATGAAATTTCAAGATACTGAGAAAAGGAATGAAACTTCTTTTATTTAGCCGTTGGCTGGTTGAAATCTCAGATGCAACAGTACTTGTCTGGAATTCTCGCCTCGTTCCCCATGCGAATTGTACTTTTAAGAGTGCATCGGAGATCGTATCGTTGAAACAGCTTAGTTAAGAGTTTGATTGCACGAGAAACGTTTCGTTTTCATGATCTGATAAGCGGTCGTTTTAAACTCTTTTACAGACAGAGACGATACTCTTCGAATAATTTGTGCCAGGCTAATGGATAAAAATTGCTGACGGATTTACAGTGAGATTTCTATCAAGAGATTTCTAAAGATCGATTGAAAATTAATAGAATTATGTCTTCTTCAATTTTCTCTAGTTATCAGAGTTAATTTCGTAATTGAGAAGATTTATAATAGTCAATTGATATTCTTTCTGATCGATTGATTTTCTACCAAAGCGTAGAATTAAATCGAATGGAAGGAATCCCGTCGTTTTACATTTTATTACATCTCGACGATCACATGTTTCTGAAGTAATCACATTAAACGGATCATCGTCCTGAAATCAAGCTATCTCTTAAAAATACCGATACAGACGAATGAAAAATACTGTTCGAAAACATTCTTCATAAGAATTCCTTGGGCTGCAGTAATAGGATTGTTGCAAATTATCGAAAATAAAGGAAGATCGGTTTGAAAATAAAAGTTCTTTATTGAAATTTCATCCGAATGCAATCGATACTTGTTTCTTTCTTGTATAAGGGTACCGTTTGTTGGAAATATATAGCTTGTACATGGAAATTGCATAATAATTCAGTTCATTGAATTCGTTGTAGGGGCATTAAGTGAGAAAGACAAAAACGTTCTATCGATAGGGTAATTCGTATTGTAATTTCTGCAATTATCCTGCGGTTATGATCCGTTCCTTTTTATAGCTTAATGCGTCACTGTTCCAACGTAATTACATAACGGCAATTGCTTGGTAATTTATCGAAGCGGATTAATTTAAAACGGTAAAATGGATTTGAATTTCAATTTTTCAAAAAACAAAGAGCATTCTGAAAAATATAATCACAGCATTTTGTTGAACAAAATAAAATAATAAACTTGGAAATAAAAGCCTTTTAAAATTGATCCACTTTTTAAAATGAAATTGCATATTTTTTTAATCGGAATCAATTTTTTGGAACTTTATCAGAATACAATGTTAAAAGAAAAATCAAGAATTACATTAATATCTGTGGTCTAATAATTATTAATCCGTATAATATCTCGTACACATGTTTGAAAATACCAAGCAATTAAGGTCTGATAACAAATCTCGTATCGTGCATTCCGTCGCCAGATGTTGCTCGACGTATCAAAACATTTCCAAGAATTCATAGCTCGAAGGGGGGGATTATGTTTTGTTTCGAATTTGACATAGCGTAGAGTCGAGCTCGGGAATGTTGACGGCTC